AGAGACAAAGAGGGGCAGTATATAATGATCAAAGGGACATTCCACCAAAAAGACATAACACTTACAAATATCTATGCACCCAACAGAGGAGCACCAGAATACATAAAACAACTTTTAACAAACCTAAAAGAAGACATTAATAATAACACAATAATAGTAGGGGACCTCAACACCACTCACATCAATGGATAGATCATCCAGACAGAAAGTCAACAAAGAAACTGTAGAATTAAATGAAAAGCTAGGCCAGTTGGACTTGATAGACATATATAGAACACTCCATCCAAAAACAGCAGAATACACAATCTTCTCAAGCGTGCATGGAACATTCTCAAGGATAGACCATGTGTTGGGAAACAAGGCAGGCCTCAATAAATTTAGGAAGACTGAAATAATAACAAGCATCTTTTCCAATCAACATGCTATGAAGCTAGAAATTAATTACAAGAAAAAAGCTGAGAAAGGGACAAAGATTTGAAGACTAAACAACATGGTATTGAACAATCAATAGATCACTGAAAAAATTAAAGGAGAAATAAAAAAATATCTGGAGACAAACGAAAATGAAAACATGCCATGCCAACTCATTTGGGATGTAGCTAAAGCGGTACTAAGAGGGAAATTCATCGCAATAAAGGCTCACATTAACAAACAAGAAAAATCCCAAATCAGCTCAATCTCAACCTACACCTGACTGAATTAGAAAAAAAAAGAACAAACAAAGCCCAAAGCCAGCAGAAGGAGAGAAATAATAAAAATCAGCACAGAAATAAATACTATTGAAAGAAAAAGGCAGTAGAAAGGATCAGTGAAACAAAGAGCTGGTTCTTTGAGAAGATAAACAAAATTGACAAACCCCTAGCCAGACTTATGAAAAAAAAACAAAACAGAGAAAGCTCAGATAAATAAAATTAGAAATGAAAGAGGAGAAAGAAGAATGGATACCACAGAAATACAACAGATTACAAGGGAATACTATGAAAAGCTACATGCCAACAGAATGGACAATCGAGAGGAAATGGATAAATTCTTAGGCTCTTACAATCTCCCAAAGCTGAATCAAGAAGAAATGGATAATCTGAATAGGCCAATCACAGTAAAGAGATTGAAACAGTAATCAAAACCATCCCCCAAAATAAAAACCCAGGACCAGACGGCTTCCCTGGGGAATTCTGCCAAACTTTCAGAGAGGATTTAATACCTGTCCTGCTCAAGCTATTCCAAAAAATTAGGGAAGATGGGAACTTCCTAACGTATTCTATGAGGCCAACATCACCCTGATACCCAAGCATGACAAGGACAGCACAAGAAACGGAAACTACAGACCAATATCACTGATGAACATAGATGCAAAAATCCTCAACAAAATATTGGCAACCCAACTCAGCAATACATCAAAAAGATCATACATCATGATCAAGCGGGATTTATACCAGGGACACAGGGATGGTTCAACACCTGCAAATAAGTCAATGTGATACACCACATTAACAAAATGAGCAATAAAAACCACATGATCATCTCAACAGATGCACAGAAAGCATTTGACAAGATCCAATAGCCATTTATGATAAAAACTCTTAACAAAATGGAGATAGAAGGAAATTACCTCAACATAATAAAGGCCATATATAACAAACCCACAGCCAACATCATACTCAATGGCCAAAAACTGAATGCCACCCCTCTGAGAACAGGAACAAGACAAGGATGCCCACTATCACCACTCTTATTCAACACAGTACTGGAGGTTTTGGCCAGAGCAATTAGGCAACAGAAAGGAATAAAAGGAATCCAAATAGGGAGGGAAGAAGTGAAACTCTCGCTGTTTGAAGATGACATGATCTTATATATAGAAAACCCTAAAGAATGCATCGGAAAACTATTAGAAATAATTAACAACTACAGTAAAGCTGCAAGGGTACAAAATCAACTTACAAAATATCAGTTGCATTTCTATAGTCTAATAACGACCTTACCAAAAGAGACCTCAAGGATACAACTCCATTTATAATCACAAGCAAAAGACTAAAGTATCTAGGAATAAATTTAACCAAGGAGGTGAAGGACATATACAATGAAAACTGTAAGACATTATTGAAAGAAATAGATGATGACATAAAGAGACAGAAAGAGGTTCCATGCACATGGACTGGAAGAATAAATATACTTCAAATGTCCATACTACCCAAAGCAATCTACAGATTCAGTGCAATCCCAATCAGAATCCCAAGGACATTCTTCACAGAAATAGAACAAAGAATTCTAAAATTCATATGAGGCAACCAAAGACCCCGAATTGCTAAAGCAATCCTGAGAAAAAAGAACAAAGCTGGAGGCATCACAATCCCTGACTTCAGAATGTACTACAAAGCTACAGTAATCAAAACAGCATGGTACTGGTACAAAAAACAGGCATGCAGATCAGTGGAACAGAACTGAAAGCCCAGAAATAAAACCGCACATCTACGGACGGATAATCTTTGACAAAGGTGCCAAGAACATACAACGCAGAAAAGATAGTCTCTTTAACAAATGATGTTGGGAAAACTGGACAGCCACATGCAAAAGAATGAAAGGAGACCATTATCTCATGCCATACCCACAAATAAACTCAAAATGGATCACAGACTTAAAGATAAGTCCTGAAACCAAAAACCTCATGGAAGATAATATAGGTAGTACACTCTTGACATAGAACTTAAAAGGATATTTTTGAATACCGTGTCTTCTCAGACAAGGGAAACAAAAGAAAAAATAAACAAGTGGGACTTCATCAGACTAAAGAGCTTCTGCAAGGCAAAGGAAACTAGGATCAAAACAAAAAGACAACCCACCAATTGGGAGGAAGTATTTGCAAATCATATATCTGATAAGGGGTTTATCTCCATAATAGATAAGGAACTCATACAACTGAACAACAAAAAAACAAACAACCCGGTCAAAAAATAGGCAGAGGATATGAACAGACATTTTTCTAAAGAAGATACACAGATGGCCAATAAGCACATCAAAAGATGTTCGAATCACTAATCATGGAAATGCAAATCAAAACTATACTAAGATACTACCCTACACTTGTTAAAATGGCTATAATCACTAAGACTAAAAATAACGAATGTTGGAGAGGGTGTGGAGAAAAGGGAACCCTCAGACACTGCTGGTGGGAATGCAAACTGGTGCAGCCACTATGGAAAACAGTATGGAGTTTCCTCAAAAAACTAAAAATAGAAATACCATATGACCCAGCTACCCCACTACTGGGTATCTACCCAAGCAACTTGAAATCACAATCCAAAGTAACATATGTACCCCCATGTTCATTGCAGCACTATTCACAATAGCCAAGACATGGAAGAAACCCAAGTGCCCATCGGCTGATGATTGGATAAAGAAGATGTGGTGTATATCTATAGAATGGAATACTACTCAGCCATAAAAAAAGACAAAATCATCCCACTTGCAATAACATGGAAGGACCTGGAGGGTATTATGCTAAGCAAAATAAGCCAGATTGAGAAAGCAAACACTGTATGATTTCACTCATATGTGGAACATAAACAAACACTTGGACAAAGAAAACAGTTCAGTGGTGAACAGGGGAAGGGGGTGGGGAGTGGGCACAGGGGGTGCAGGGGAGCACTTAAGTGGTGACAGTCAAGAAATAATGTACAACTGAAATTTCACAATGATGTAAACTATTACAAACTCAATAAAAAATAAATCAAAGCTTTGCTTTTTAGAACTGATAGTAATAATTATCATATCAATAATTATAAAAAAACAGAGAGATAGAAACATAATGCACCAAATGGTACCAAATAGTGTTGTTTGGAGGATTAACTGAGTGCCTGTATACAGTAACCTCCCAGTAAGTGTTGGCTTACAATAATTCTGAGGAGGAGGAGGAGGAGAAGAGTGCTGTAAGGAGGATTAAATGACTGACTGTGTGTAGATCCCATATATAGTGCCTGATACACAGAAGATGATTATTCTTACAACTATATCCATCATTAATTGAGCACCTATTTTCACATATATTATGCTGTTTAATCCTCCCTAAAACCCTGCCAGAGGGAACGGGAAGCTGAAATTTGGAGGGCTGAAGTGACTTGCTCAGAGTATCATGGTTGGAAGGGGTAGAGCTGGGGTGAGAATCTAGGAGAGCCTGACTTCAAATCCCAGGCTCTTTATACACATGTGCCCAGTCACCCCTTTTGCCCTCATCCCTCACCCGTTCCCCTCTGGTAACCACCAATCTAATCTCTGTATCTATGTGTTTGTTTATTGTTGTTGTTGTTGTTTTTCTCTTCTACTTATGAGTGAGATCATATGGTATTTGACTTTCTCACTCTGACTTATTTCACTTAGCATAATACCTCAAGGTCCATCCATGTTGTCACAAATGGCAAGATTTCATCATTTCTTATGGCTGAGTAGTATTCCATTGTGTATATAGACCACATCTTTATCCATTAGTCCCTTGATGGGCACTTAGGTTGTTTCCAAGTCTTGGTTATGGTGAATAATGCCACAATGAACACAGGGGCACATATATCTTTATGCATTCAAGTTCTCACGTTTTTTGGATAAATATCCAGCAGTGGAATAGCTGGATCATATGGTAATTCTATTCTTAATTTTTTCAGGAATCTCCATACTGTTTTCCATAGTGGCTACCCACCATAACTTTTAGAACTTTCCTCTCCTCCATTCTTTTCCACAGCAGCTAAAGCTGCGGAACGTCCTTGGCTTGTTCCTCTACCACTCTTGGTGCTCCTGACTCTGGGGCTCCCAGCTGTGTGCACCGGCTCCCCATATCCACAAGGGCCATCCCTAGGCCCAGTTGATCGTCCCAGGGCTCCCACTGGCTGGGCTAGGTCCCTGCCTCTATTAAGAGAGGAAGATTAAACTTTCTAGGTGTAACACACAAACAATGGCAGGGTCATTTTTAACATTAGTAGTAAAGCTGGGCTCTTAACTCCTTAATCAGTCCTCACCTTTTTTCTTCTGGGATGTTCTCCAACAGCATTTGAAGGAAATCCTGGAATAAGAAAAAAGCAAACGATTAAAGATGTCCACCAATAAATAGCTCTGCCCCAAATCATGCCAGAGACCAAGCGTTCCCAGCTGCTGACAGCTCACCTGCTAGGAAAACTAGGCCTGTGCTGACTTTTTAGACTCTACTCAATTTACTAATTTACCAGGGCTTTCATCCAATCAGTTAAAGAGATCTGTTTTGTAAAAACCACAAACAAATTGGAAAATGCAATGTTTGGTATATTTTGGTTCGATATTTCATTCATTTCATGTTTAACAATTTTCAAAAGGCTGGCCATAGCATAAAGCACTTTAACCATGTTCTCCTCTTCATGAGCTTTCCCTAAAGATCCTGCTACATACTGAACAATCTCAACTCCCCAAGAGGCTAGTAACTAATTTGCAACTTTCTTGCATTGCTTTATGGAGAGATAAAGACAAAAATCAAGATGATTAATTTCCCAAAGGAGGAACAAAAATGTCACAATTACAAAAATGGTTCACAGGCCCCAGAGCTAACATCTGTTGCCAATCATCCTCTTTTTTTTTTTTTTTGCCTGAGGAAGACTAACCCTGAGCTAACATCTGTGTCAATCTTCCTCTATTTTGTATGTGGGTCGCCGCCTCAGGATGGCTGACGAGCGGTGTAGTGCTGCGCCTGGGATCCGAAACTGTGAACCTGGGGCCACTGAAGCAGAGTGCGCTGAACTTAACCACCACATCACGAGGCCAGCCCGTCAATAATAGATTTTTTTCACCTGAAGGCATGACTTACATACGCACCCATTTTTCCCTTTACTATCGAAAATTTCAAACACATCTGAAAGTAGTCAAAAGAGCATAATTAACGTTCACATACCTATTAACGCACAGCCAGTCTGCCCCATCCACTCACCTGCCTCTTGCATTATTTAGAAGAGAATCCCAAACATTATGTAAATTCATCCACTAATGTTCCTGTAAATACTCTATCTCTAAAAGATAAGGACTTTTTAATTTTTATTTTATTTTTTTAAGGATTGGCACCTGAGCTAATAACTGTTGACAATCATTTTTTTTTCCCTTCTTCCCCAAAGCCGTCCAGTATATAGTTGTATATTTTAGTTGTGGGTCCTTCCGGTTATGCTATGTGGGACACCGCCTGAGCATGGCCTGACCAGATGTCATGTCTGTGCCCAGGATCCAAATCGCCGAAACGCTGAGCTGCTGAAGTAGAGCGCGTGAACTTAACCACTCAGCCACAGGGCCAGCCCCCAGGACTCTTTCAAAACACAACTGCAATACCACAAGCCTAAAGAATTTACATGTGAATGTTCAAAATCACACATAATTATTTGCAACCTGACTATTACGACCAATCTTTTCAGCTCATCTAATGCTGGAATCTTGATTTGGTCTCAAAGATTGTCAAATAAAATATAGGATGCCCAGTTAAACTGGGGGCATACACTAAAAAATTATTTGTTATTTATCTGAAATTTGAATTTAACTGGGTGTTGTATATTTTTATTTGGCAAATGGGTAAGCTTAGTGTTAACCCTCTGTTTTCTGAAGGTTTGATAAGATACATTTTGGATAAATATAGAACATGAAACAAAGAAAAATAATATTTACCTCTCTAGGGACTTGATATTGATCAATAAGTAAGACCTACACTTGAAGCTTTTCTTTTAATAAATTGAAAAAAGTCTTTCAAAATGGATCCTTTAAAGAGGGACACGTGTGCAAACCTAGGTGAGCAAATATGACACTGTCCAATGACTGTCTCTCCAGGTTGGAACCCTCGACCCCCCACAACCAAGTCTGCAGACCCAGGGTCAGTGCGAGGCTCTGACGGGATCCATCTAGCTCACGGTGTGAGACGGAAGCAGCAGCACAGACCTTCAGAGTACAAACAGACGGCCTTGCAGAGGAAGGGAAACCTGCAAACAATTTGAGGACAAGATGTTCTTTTTCTGTCATGGCACTAAGCATAGCCATCAGGACGCTGGCGAAGCCAGCTGTCCCTTTCGATGTGTTTGGGGGGGTTAGGTCCATTTCTTCCAGAGGCAAAGTCTCCCTATTAAGAGCACTGAGGAAAGACTTATTCCTTGCAATCTCTGATCTCCTTATAAGACATTACTTGTCAATTGCTGCTTCACCTAAAATAAATGGTACAAAGAATAACAAAACTACTATTAAAAACATGGATCATGCAGTCAAAATGGAAAGGGACACTCCCAAATAGAATAATGCTTCACATCTGAAGTCCTTCCTAGTACCTACAGTGGGTATATGGAGAAAAAACAAAGGAAACAAGAGTAACATTTAGAATGCAAAGAATTAGTTTTGCTTGAGGTTCTTAAAATCATTATGTTTATTATTTTGTAAAAAAATGTTGAATTAGAAATTAATTTATCACAGTCTAATATATTAATAGATTGCAAATATTTCATTGGCTTACTGACAGTATTCTTGTGTCTTAAAAATCTAAGTATTATAATGATAATTTCTTACTAATTTCACTTCATTATCTTCTTATAGTCCATATCAACTTATCCTATATTTATCCAATAATTTATGCTCAATTATATGGGGGAAAAATTACATTAACTCAATGGCAAGGGGGAGAATTTAACTGCACGAGAAGGAGGAAATTCAGAGTTAACCTTAATTCTTCCCTTTTGCATTTTCCAATTACAATTGGATCTTTCTTTATAGGATTGCAGAGCATAATGTTCCAGAGTTTTGTGTGAATACAGGAAAAGTGCATGAGGTACCCAAGAAACACTGCTTTTTTTTTTCTTTTGGTGAGGAAGATTAGCCCTGAGCTAACAAATGTACCAATCTTCCTCTATTTTGTATATGGGACACTGCCACGGCATGGCTGATGAGCAGTATGTAGGTCTGCACCTGGGATCCAAACTCACGAACCCTGGGCCACTGAAGCAGAGTGTGCCAACTTAACCACTACACCACTGGGCCAGTCCCTGCTTCATTTTTTAAGAAAGACAGCTGTCCTACCTCCTAATAGGTGGCCACCTGCCTCTTTCTGCATCAGAGCCAATACCTGCAGACCACATAGCAGTTGGCTGGATGTTGCCAAGCAATGCTGGGGATAACAGGTCTAGGAAATCACATTGGATAAGCAGAACTGAACGCCACAAGCACCCCTAAGACGTGGAGCCTGTATTCCCACAGGCTATGGGAATGTTCGTCTACAGCGCAGACATGCTCCTTCTGCCCTAGGCTCCAGGCAGTTCGAGAAGATGCTTGGTCTCATGGAGGCAGTCGTCATACCACCTATCAGTGGAATCAGCCCACTTGACCCTTCTTACTCCTTTCACAGACCTAATCTTTCACCACAAAATGCTGGTTTTCCTGGTTCTTTTCGTAAATTGGCATATAACCATGGAATGGACTCATCATAGAAGCTTTTCTCCACTCTCCACGGCAGAATGATGTTTTTATGTCACAACTATTCCTTCCCTCACCACCTCTCTTTCAATTCTTTCATCTGTCTTCACTCTTCCCTTTAGTATGTTGGCATCTTTAAAAAAGCAACTTACAAATCTTAACTGGACAAAGGAGGACTTTCCTTTAAGATGGACTCTAGGATAAATTGACAGCATCTAGAATATTGACATTGATCTAGAATCACTGACAAAGTCAGTTAGTAACTAATGCTAGGAGGTCCCAATTTGTCACCTCTACAGTATGCCTGAAAAAAGATTAAAGCAAAGGCACAAAAACAAACAAACAAACAAAAATTCTGCTGTTTTGACAGTGCGCTGGGATGAACTTTTATCTGGATCCTTGGGAACTGTTGCAAGCCCACATTCCAGCCAAAAAATGCACTCTTGAGCCAGCCCTGAGGGCCTAGTGGTTAAAGTTCGGTGTGCTTCGCTTTGGCAGCCCGAGTCCGGTTCCTGGGTGCAGAACCACACCACTTGTCTGTCAGTAGCCGTGCTGTGGTGGCAACTCACACAGAAGAACCAGAATAGCTTACAACCATACACGACGATGTATTGGAGCTTTGTGGGGGAAGGAAGGAAAAAAAAGAGGAAGACTGGCAACAGATGTTAACTTAGGGCAAATCTTCACTGCAAAAAAAATTTTTTAATTGAAAAAAATCACGTTGTTTGAGATTTTGTCTTCATTTCCTACTCTCATAATAATCTATATGCTGATTAGGTCAGTCCCAGACAGCTTATTTTGATTAACACCTACCAACACTAAACTAAACATTACCATTTAAAAAAACTACATTGACTGGGCACATGGCTAATTTGGTAATTATTTTTTAGTCTTGGTGAAAGTATCCAATACAAAGCAGGTGCATGTAGATTTATCCAGTTTATCCAGTAAACGGACATTGGCCTAATAATTACACAGGATTAGCAATTTCTGTCAGACGTTTTATGAATAATTACCATGGTCATGAGGAGAGGGAGGTAGGAGAGGCAAAACGAATAATGAAAATGTTGAAGCAAGGACAGAGATGGCAGGGTAAGAACTAAGAAGAAATGAAATGGTCAGGAAGAAGTCACTGCTAAGCTCAAGAGAGCAGTTTTACAGAGGGCTGGAAAGATGATAATACCAACATGCTAGACAGGTGGGGTGTTCAGAAGGGAAGGGATTAAGAAGTAAACAGGAAGAAGAAGAAATTGAGGAATTTCTGAGTAAAGAAACTGGACGATAGCCTTCCTTAAAAATGAAAAACAAAAAAACAGCAAAAACTTTACCATCAGCATCCAAACAAGGAAAGAAGTATGCAGCCTCATGGCACAAACTTCAAAAAAAGACAACTCAGGAAAGAGCATAAGATTCCAACACAGCCCCCAAACCTCCCTCTGCGCCACCCCCACTCTCACGCTTAGCATAGCGGGACTTCATGGTGAACGCCCAAACCCCACAAACACCCACACACCTGGAAAGAAACAAGACAATCTTTATCTTTCCTCTTTTTTTGACTGTGGAGAAACTAGAAATGTTTGTTAGAGAGAGATGAGTAAAACTTGGGAAATGAACAACTTGAGGATGACACTCTGAGCAACTGTACAGCTTCTAGAGCTCCAAGCTGAGCTGGAGGGACAGCACTAGCTGAGAGAGCACCTGCAGTGGGAAAAAGCTGCACCCAAATTAGGGGACGAGATTTGGGCTGGGGACATTTAACAAAATTTCAAGAGTTAGTGGAGCCAAATTCTTACAACAAAGGCTGTACACAGCTCCGGTGCAACTCCTCCCCTCTGCCCCCTCCATGCATAATATCCAAGCTTCAAACTGCAGCTCAGAGGGGAAGAAAAACACGTCTAAGAAGTGTTGGGAAAGAAATCAGGGATGATGTTCCAATACATATGAGAATAAATAAAAGGGCAGGACAGCGCTACTCAGGCTGAGAATGAGCAAGGAGAAAAGTATGGCAACCATGCAAATGAATACAACAAAACTCACATAAAGAGAGAGACAGAAATAAGAAGCATAACAGAAAAGACAAAGGATCCAGTCTTGAAGAAAACATAATCCAAGGAACAGAAGAAAATTCTCCATGAATGCATTACACCATAAATTAACAAAAGATCATAATAAGAACATAAACTCAGTAGAATGAAAGCTCAAAGACAAGATGACAAAACAACAAAATGAGATGAAAAGAGAGATTTCGAAGCAAATGAAATAAATTAAGAACAAAATAATACCATGATAGGAGCGTTAATAAAATAGAAATAGCAAGGAGAAGAACAGACACTAAAGAAAAAAAATTAATAATAATAAAAATCATAATGTAGCTTCAGATAAACATATGCCATGAAGACCGAAAAGACCAAAGCAACTGGAAAATAACAAATATGGAGGGCAAAGACGACACAATAGAAGGATAACTGGTAACCGTGAAATTCAGAACCCTGCAAGGGGGAAAAAAAAAGAATGTGTTCAAAGATACAATTAAGACCATTTCACTGAAAAAAGGAAGAATACAAGCTAAGACTAAAAATGTACACTGTTTTCCAGGAAAAAAACTGATGGAGACTCATGGACACCAAGCCATTTTCTGATTAAATTACTAAATGTCAAAGATAAAGAAAGAATTCTTCTGTCATCTGAGTGGTATAAAGAGGAAAAAGTAGGCTGACTTCAAAAGTTTCAATAGCAGTATTTAATGACAGAAGGGAGCTGAGCAATATCCACAAAGTTCTGAGAAAATGAAAACGTGACCCAAGAATATTATACGCAGCCAGTTTGTAATTCAAATATAAAGACAACAGGCAAACATTCTCAAGCACTAAGAACTCAAAAAGCACAGAACCAGTGAGTCTGCAACTTGAACATCAATTTGGTAACGGAATTCAGCCAACAAAAAGTTGAATCAAAATATTCATGAATATAGAAGCATGGTGAAATGACTGGTGATGAATTTAAATACAGATCTAAGATTACACAACTGTGAAAATTATGTTTACAGCAATACCATACATGATATAAACCTTAACTATGTAAAAATATTAACTACGATAAAGTTAGAATTTGGGGAAAAGTAGAGGAAGTACATAACTGCTGATTTCCTCACCTTTTACAGAAGTGAATAAACTCATGCTTTCTAAAAATTAAATATATGACTAAAGAGAAAAAAATAACAATTTCGACCTCAAAGATTTTTTATAATTGTGTTTCTTAACCGTAGAAGAATCCTTTAGGAAACGATCTCTCCTACATTTATCTGAAGTTTGGCAAAGTCCTTTAGATTCATTTTAGTTTCTTTTTCATTTGCTAAATTCAAGTAAAATATAATTTAAAACATTTCATTAAAAAGCACATAGAACACATGCTATTTTTATAAAATTATTTCTGAACGTATCTTGTATCTATACATGTATATACACACATACATACAGACACACATATACATACTACATACACATGTACACACAGATACATATATACGTATCATTTATAACATATAGAAAGACAGAGAAAGAGAGAGTGCAATTTCTGGAATGATGTTCATCTAGTATTAATTATAGGTATTTATGAGTATGGGGTTTTGAGTGATATTTTACATTATTCTTTTCTGTACTTTTCTGTATTGATTGAATTTTTTTATAATGAGTATGTTTCAGTCAAAAAAGCAATAATTTCCAAACTCACTGCGGTACTGGTGTAAGGACAGAAATAGAGAGCAATGGAACAGAATTGAAAGTCCAGAAATAAACTCTTACATTTTTGGTCACTTGATTTTCAACAAGGTTTTCCAAGATAATTCAGTGGAGGGAAATAATAGGCTTTTCAACAAATGCTTATGAGCAACTGGATGTTAAGATGCAGAAGAATGAAGTTGGACCAGCTACCTCACATCATATACAAAAATTAACTCAAAATGGATAAGAAACCTAAATGTAAGAGCTAAAACTATCAAACTCTTAGAAGAAAACATAGGAGTAAATCTTCATAACCTTCAATTAGGCAATAAAGACAATATCTGCAAATCATATATCTGATAAGGTACTTAAATCTACAATATACAAAGTACTCTTACAACTCAATAATAAAAATAATCCCCTCCCCCCAAAATTGGCAAAGAATCTAAATAGATATTTTTCCAAAGAAGATATACAAATGGTCGATAAGCACAGGAAAGAAAGTTCAACATCATTACCTATCAGAGAGATGCAAATTAAAACCACAATGAGATACCACTTCATACCCACTAGGATGGCTATTATCAAAAAAACAGAAAATTGTAAGTGTTGGTGAGGATGTGAAGAAATTGGAACCCTTGTGTATTGCTGGCGAGAATGTAAAATGGTGCAGACACAGTAGAAAATAGTATGGCAGTTCTTCAAAATATTGAATTACCATATAATCTAGCAATTCCACTTCTGGGTATATACTCAAAAGAATTGAAAGCAGGAACTTGAATGATATTTGTACACTAATGTTCATACCAGCATTATTCACAAGAGCCAAAAGGTGTAAATAACCCAAGTGTCCATCAATGGATGAACAGATAAACAAAATGCGGTATATACACTCAGTGGAATATTAAGTCTTAAAAAGGAAAGAAATTCTGACACATGCCACAACATGAATGAACCTTGAAGATATTACGCTAAGTGAAATAAGTTAAATACAAAAGGACAAATATTGTATGAGTCCACTTACATGAGGTCCCTAGAGCAGTCAAACTCACAGAGACAGAAAGTAGAATGGTGGCTGCCAAAGCTGGGGAGAGGGAAGAATGTGGAGGTACGTTTAGCAGATACAAGTTTCAGTTTGGGAATTTCAAAACGTTCTGGCAATGCATGGAGGTGATGGTTGCACAACAATTTAAATGTACTTAATGCACCGGATTATATACTTAAAAATGGTTATTTTGTTAAGTATATTTTACCACAATTTAAAAAATAAAAATTGAAATAAGAAAAGAGCGATGAAGTACTGATAGATGCTACAACATGAACCTTGAAAACATTATGCTAAATGAAAGAAGCCAGACATGAAAGCCCGCATAATATATGACTCCATTTATATGGAATGTCCAGAACGGGCACATCCATAGAGACAGAAAGTAGGTTAGTGGTTGCCTAGGGCTGGGGGGAGGTAGAATTGGGGCAGCGACTGCTAATGGATGTGGGTTTCTTTTGGGGTGATGAAAATGTTCTGAAATTAGAGTGGTGATGGTTGTACAACTGTGTGAATACACTAAAAACCACTGATTCGTACACTTTAAAAGGGTGAGTTTTACAGTATGTGAATTATAGCTCAATAAAGCTGTTATGAAAAACAATAAAGCTATTATTTAAAAGAGACAAACAAAAGAAAAATTGAACCATTTGGTGGAGGGAGCACTAAGTGTTCATGGGAAGCTGAAATCAGAACCTCAGAAGTCATGGTAAATGCAATGCGCTCAGTTAACACTGCAGGATCTTGGTGAGAAGTGGTTTTAAGCAGGAGGAATTTGGGGCTAATCAGTCAACCAAACAATAAGACTTCTGAGCCAGTTTTCAAGTTGCCTTTCGAAATACACGTTTAGGAAAACTCTTTCTCCCCCCAACCACAACAATAAAAGGAATGCAGAGATGAGGACTAGCCATCTAGTCTGGTGACATTCACGCTATTCCCTCCATATGTGTTCAGATTATACACGCACGTCCTTTACACCTAACATTGTGGACAATGTGACTTCAAAATCGTCTATGAGCACAACTGCCAAATATCAAAAATACTCATCAGTCCAATCTGTGCAGAGGCTGCATCCTCTATTCTCCCTCAGTTACAAGCACTGTTTTCAGAGCCTCTTCCTCTTTCTTAACTTTCTTGGTACATGCAGCTCAGCCCCATACCTGTGTAAGCTGACAGAGTCTTGCTCTGACAGTTTTGTGGCCAGGCTGTCTAAATATTTCAGTGTTATCTTATTATTAATCTATTTGTTTACCAAATACATATGCTGTACATACTCTGTGCCAATCATGTCTTCCGTACTGGTGAAATAAAGAGTATGGTCTGGCCTCATTGAGCTTACACATAGAATGGAGGAGACAGAAAAACAAATGGACTCATAAAAGAAAATATAATTATAAGTAATGGCAATGATAACGAAGGCAGAGAAAAGGGCGAAGGGTATAAAATAACAGGGTGGATGCATAGCTGTTTAGCTGGGGTGACTCTGAGATTGTGAAATCTCAGCTGAGACAAAACGGTAAGAAGGAGCCAACTTTGCGAAGATTGTTCCAGGTAGAGAGAACAGCAGGATGGTTTTGTTTCCGTTTTTAAAGTCTCTGAAGGTACAGCTATCCACATCACTGTGCGCCAGACAGCGTTGGGGTACAGTCTGTCCCAGAACTACAGGGAGATTGCCCCCCCCGAAACAACACTCCTGTGTCCACTTCATTCACTTCCTCCTTTTCCTACTGCATTGTGTCGTGATGCTTTTCCCGACTTCTTAATACTCACATAACCTAGTCCCCAAGTGCCACACCCCCCGCAACTGGATAGCACAAACTCAGGACCCGTAAATTACCTGGGAAAGAATCAACTGCCCATGGAATGTGTGCACAAATTTTCTTAAAAATGAAAAATAGGTGTCATCTCCAAGTCTTTTGGCAAGGAACCGGAGAAGGAAATAGCCCTAGAAGAAAGGAAGAAGAAAACAAAATGGCTATCATGGGTTCATCAGAAAAACGCTTACACAGTCAATCCTAACTTGTCCCCCAGCACTTATAGACATCGACGATGTTCCATCTGACCTGTCCCAGGCTGCCCTTTATATTCTCACAAGGTTGGGCCTGGAAATTAAGGATCTACTCTTTGCTTTCAACTCATCTGTTAATGGCATCATCATCTGATTTGTCTTTGGTTTACATAAAGCCTGGACATCTCTCATGGACCAAAAGAGAAGAGCGGCCCAGCTCCTCTCTCCCACAGCTATCAGGAAAGGCCTTTACCACTTAAAATACTTCCTCATTACTCCTGTCTTCTAGTTGGAACCCAACAGCAATTTTAAGATTCTGTTCTTCAAAGCCAACATGAAGCAGGGAGAAGGGAGTTGCAGAGAAGGGAATAGTTCAGCTCCCTTTGATTCATGCCTCATTTCTGGGGTATGAAGTGCTTTAATTATTGGACAATCAGATATCTGCCTAGTTAAATGTCATTAAAATGTTGATTTCTTTTATTTTGTCCCAAGCACGTTACTAATCTTCACTGTCTACATGGACACCCTAAAAAGTGCTGCACCACCACCAATGGCTTCTGTCACTCAGATGTGCTCACCTTTAAATAATGAACCTGCATGAAGGCCTTCTCCGGATTGAGACCGTGTTTGATGACAGACGATCCTGAGTCACTCACGCAGCCAGTTTCCTCTTTATTGGGTCTAAAACGATGCAGTGAAATTTTCTTTAATTATAGCACATTCTTAGCTAATTATATCATAACATCTTCTTCTTTTTTGAGGAAGGTTAGCCCTTAGCTAACTGCTGCCAATCCTCCTCTTTTTGCTGAGGAAGACTGGCGCTGAGCTAACATCTGTGCCCATCTTCCTCCCCTTTATATGTGGGACGCCTACCACAGCATGGCTTGACAAGCCATGCCATGTCCGCACCCGGGATCTGAACTGGTGAACCCCGGGCCGCCAAAGCGGAACGTGCGCACTTAACCGCTGCATCACTGGGCCGGCCCCTATTCTTCTTATTTCTTATTTTCAGAGTTGCTCTACAGCATCTTAATTCTACTCAATAGTACCAGGTAAAATTTAAAACAGTTTACGTTACAAATTCATACACTGAACAAGGAGGGATTTATATCTAGGTTGGCAACCTGAGGTTGGCTATTGGCCATATTTTACGTCATCTTATCCAAGATTAAAGCTTGCCAGACCCTTGAGGAGACTAAGCTCCAACATGAATTATTTAAGAACCTATATACTTTTCTTTTGGTAGGAATGATGGACTGGGAAATGCAATGGAAAATGTAGCTTTACTTGGAAGAGTAAAAAATTTATATCTTTTTAAAAGAAAATTCTGAAAGCCCCACTGTTATCCACTTCTCTTGATTTGCATTTAGTTATTAAAGGTTCTTTTAGGCAACATTTGCACTCTGAAGCCATTTCAGAATCACACACACACACAAAAAGAAGTGATAGAAGCCCATGTTTTTAGAACAGGTAGGGACATTAGTAATCACATACATCAACCTCCTCATTTCACAAATGAGGGAAACCTAGGCACACAGAAATTAAGTCTGCAGCCAAGGTCCCACAGCTTGTTTCATTTGCGGCGACATTAGGACTGAAACCAATGTCTCCTTCTTGTTTATCAGGGTGTTTTCCATATGCTCTATGGTTTTAAATATTTTTAAAAATTCCTGTAATAAAATGTAATTATGTTACAGTGAAGCTTCAACTAGCTAAAATCAAAATATGTAACAAGGTATTTGCAGCTTTCAGTTGTTCTAAAACCAGTCCCTTATTAGACAAGCTTTGAAGCGTGTGTGCTGGGGTGGGGGAGGGCAAGGTCTGACAGGAGGCTTGGCACATCAGAAAGGTGGGGGGTTAGTTTTAAAGGTAGTGTGGTCTGGAACCCGAGACCTCAAGTTGAGTCTCAAATCTACTTCTTACTACCTGTTGCTTACTAGTAGGTTTCTTAAATTCTCTAATCCTCAATTTACTCACTTGCAAAATGGGAATAATGCCACCTATCTCACTAGGTCCTGTGGGGAATAACTGAAATAATATGCAGAAAGCCCCTAGCAAGGGCTGGGGATATAAAATTACTCAATAAACTTAATAAAATATTCTAAAGTTGTCAGCAATAAATATTGCTAAGTTCAAGGTCGGTCATCTGATGTTGGAGGCAACGATCTTAGTGGTTCATCTGCTCAATCCCACATGCCCACAGAAACAAACGTGCAAGGATGCTGGACCTGAATGGAACAGCCTGGGGATGACCCAGCTTGCTGAATCAGTCCCACTGCAGTGTGCCCTAGCTGCCAAGCAAAGAAGCCCTGAGTAAGTCTCTCCTGAATATTCCAGTACATTAACCCAGCAGACACAAGGCACGGAATCAGCAGCTACCTCAAGGAGAGATGGCGACCGGCTACAAGAGCTAACTGCATAGTTTCCATTCTTCTGCTTGATCCCTGACTTACGTACATGACCATACTTGCAAGAATAACTCATCCTTTTCATCTTCATTTGAGACTCCACTGAAAAGCATCAGCTTTATTCCTGCTTTCAAGTGTGTCCTGGGGTTGAGTGGTTTTATAAAGAAAGCCACTCTGGCCTTGATAGGGAAAGCTCACCACCCACAGCTTTGGGAGGAAGACGGCTTCTCAGAGTCAGCCTGAATTCAAACCAGTTTTCCCAGCCCCAAAAGAGACAAAGTTGCTGTGAGTTTCTTACGCCCTTCAGCTCTGAAGTAAGACTACTAGAAGGGGAGGAACACAGGAGATCCAAGTAAATCTCTTCTCCAAAGGCTGGCTTCCAGGCTCAAGTGACTAAGGATGCCTTTAGTTGGTGGTTTTTTCCTTTGCCTAAAAATGTCCTTCCAGAAAGCATCCCTCTCTTACTCGCTTCTTCCACCCTCTCCAAATGAAGAAATGTTCGAGAAAATTCTTTTATGCTGACAGCATCCAAGGCAAACGTACAAGTCCCCACGAGATTCCTTTTACAGTAGACTTGGTGCTGGAGAGAGCAGTGCCCAGACAAACTGCAAGAACTCAAAGGGGGTGGTTGTTAGAAGGAAAAGATACTCCCCACGTGGAACAAGGGTGACTTCCATTTCTGTGCTACTCTGGTTCTCACACTGCCGCCTATCCCAGGTCTATGCAGAGAGACAAAGCACAGGAAGAAGGCAGGAAACAAACGAACTAGCACCACGTGCAATGACAGACGACTCTCACAGGTGACTGAAAGAATTCACAGCCAGAAAGAGTACATACAAATGTACGATGCCACTTACACGAAGTCTAAAGAACAGGCAAAACAGATCTATGGGGACAGAGATCAGAATAATGGTGACCTTTGGGAGGGAGTGTTGGACAAGCAGAGAAAAAGAGGAAGGTTTCTGGATGCTCCAGATGTTCTCTACATTAATCTCAGTGGTGCTTTCATGAGGATAAACAGTAAAAATCTACTGAGCCATCTAGAAATATGTGTACTTTAGTGTACGTATATTTCAATTAAAAAGTTTTTTAAAAAAAGATGCACATGAACCAGTACACATTCTGTGAGAATAAAAGTCCAGAAAAGAGGTGTTGCTATTGGTGTGCCATGAACATATGCCTAGGACTCACAAAGCCCTCTACACCTGAGGGCAAGGAAATATTTTTTTAAATGACATTGTGAGAGGCAGGAAGAACTGTGGCCAATACAGTTGGCTCAGTCTACTCCCATTATCATCCACCTTCTTCCCTGCCCACTTAAATGCTCACTTTCCAAGTGTGCTTGCAACTACAGATAGAAGACAGTCCTGGCCAATGAGACAAAAGCAAATGTCTGCTGTTGGGAGTGGGGCTCTGGGAAAGCTTTTGCTTTCTTTACAAAAGGGGGAAATACGACTGGTACTGCACCTCTTCCCCCCAAACATGACGGATGGAGCTGCAGCAGCCACCTTGCAACCAAGAGGCAGCAAGTCAACATGCTATGGAAACCAGAATGGAATGAAAGAAGGTAAATAGTCTTTGATGGTATCATTCAGCTGCTGGCCAGCCCAAGACTGCCTGTCTTCACACTTCTTACTGTATGAAAAAAGAAAAACCCTATTTGTTTAAGTCAACATTGCTTTACTATTCTATTAATTGTAGCAGAATGATTCCTAATGGATGAAGAATTGAACTAATTCTAACAGCTACCATTTCCTGTTATCCTCCTGTGCCAGGTACTCTGCCAAGCTCTTTTTAAGTATCATGTCCTTCTATCCTCACGAGAACCTGATGGGGCAGGTACTGTGACTATGCCCATTGAAAAGCAAAGGAAAGTGAGGCCTGAAGAAGACCACAAAGCTAGTTAGTGGCAGGGTTTAAGCTGAAACCTGGGTCCACAGAACACCAAAGTCCTAGCTGCATTCCGGGACGTTCCCAGGATCCAGGCCCCCATTCTCATTGTGCCTTAGACACGTCGCTTACCCTCCCTGAAGCTCAGTCTCCTCACCTGTGAAGAGTGTGATGAGGCTCAGATAAGGTGAAAGCACTTTGTGAAAGAAAAGTGTTAAGCATCTCTTAGACATTATACGCCAGTGTTTATTTCCTTGGCTGGAATACATGGAATGTGAGCGATCAAGTTACCAAGGTCGTTTGGGCTTAAACGCCCTTGGTTTCTGTTGTACCTGGCACCACATGTAACAACTGCGATTAGCATGGCCTTTCCCTGCCCACCTCCTTCCTTCTCCACTGCACTCAGAGGCAACAGGGACACGTAAAGAGCTTTCAGCCGGCAGTGACATTTGATACACCGTGATTTGATTTGGAATCAAACCTCCTGAACAAAGGGCTGATTCTGCAGAACTATCACCAGGGATGGGATCTGGGAAAATGCCTCTGAAAGGTGCTCAGGCGTGTCAGCTTGGGTCTGAACACCCACTGCCCTGCCACGGCCCAGACGGGCCATCCGCCAGAGTTCTCCATCTCATATTCCTTGGCAGTCAAAGTGAGAGCCATGAGATATCTCCATCTATAAACTCACTACTGTGGCGCTTGAGCCAGGGACTAAGCATCCCAGAAAAGAGACAGAAAGGGATTAATCAGCATTTCAACATCCCTGTCTGAGTGTCAGTCACAGCTGCTCCACGAGCTCTCAGTCCAGGAGCAGGGCCCTCACTCAGCCCCTAATAAAGGAGGAAGTTAAATACGACCTTTGTGTAGGCATTGGCCTCACAGTACTGATCTGAGCCACTGACTTGCCTTTGGTCAGTGTTACCAAAGAGAAGTGGATAAAACATTGTGTACACTTTTAACTAAGGATATCGTACTGTATTGAAGCTACTGGAGTTTGGCAAGTTTGATTATCTGCATGCTTTTCCCAATGAATTTAACAGCTATCCGGCATGAAGGTTCTTCCCCATCAGGGACCATTATCCTGTAGCACACATAGCAGGATATGACTCTGGTGTTGAAAAAGGCAATTGCTAAAATGACTTAAGACAGAAGGAGGCATCCCTCGAAGGAGTCAGAGGAAAGTAAAGAAGGTACATTCTGGTCCCTGATGGGGAAAGGAGGCAGTGGTTGGTGCCTATAGGAGAGGTCAGCGGCTGAAGGGGATGATAAAGAAGGACTTTGTAGCTGGCAGAACTGTGGAAAACACGAACAAACTCCACGGATTTTGATAAGCAGGGTAGCAAAATGAAAGATGAAACTCAGAAAAGCAGAAAGTCATGAACA